GGGCAGCTAGGTAGCATAGTGGATACAGCACTGGCCCTGGATTCAGGAGGACTCAAGTTCAAATCCGGCCTCAGACACATGGCACTTACTAGCTAGCTGTGTGACCCTGGGCAAGTCACTTAACTCCCTTGCCTAGCCGCTCCCCCCCCAAAAGAAGAAGAAATATGAGAAGACATCCCTGCCCTACAAATCCACAAATGCTTTACATTGAACTTATTTTCAGACTCTTTCTATGTGTTGATTAATTATGCTAATTTTTCTCTTTCTTCTTTTATATTAAAAAACCTTTTTGTTATATAGGATGGCTCTGTGGGAGGGGGAAATTATAGTAATTTAGAATTTAGTAAAGGAAAAAAAATGAGCCACTAATCCAGAATAAGTTTCCAGCAAATCACAATATGTAGTTTTGAAGGTTTGAAATGGATATTTGAGGACCAGAGTTCTTTACAGAATTTATAAAAAATAAAAAACCTGAAACCCAAATAACTCTCGCATTTTCATTGCCGTGGAGTATCCTCCCGTAATCTCTTTTACAAATGGGCTCTGTGGCCTAGAGCCCCTTTCCCCCGAGCCGGGTCATCCGTGATCGTCCGCCGCAGCCCACTGTCTGACAGGGGCTGCTCGGGAGCCGCCACTAAGGTTTACATCATCACAATAAGAACAAACAACATGGCAGCAATCCCGTCCAGCGGTTCACTCGTAGCAACCCACGACTACTGCCGAAGGCGTCTGGGTTCCACTTCCAGCAACAGCTCCTGTGGAAGTGCTGAGTATTCTGGGGAAGTGATCCCCCATCATCCTGGTCTTCCCAGATCAGACAGGCCACTGGTGGGCAAGCTTCTTCTTCGGGAAGTCCAGTCATCCATTCATGACAACTGTAATGGAATCCCCAGAGCACTCAGGAACTTTCCAGGTTGCTCATGGTACGATCACCTGTGACCTGGCTCAGGAGGCCACGAGGAAGCGGCATGTCAGCGAGCCCAGCGAGACCAGCACTGGGCCTTCTGCATGAGCAGCAGCACCCTCCTTGCTGCTCCCCCCCTTCTGAAGTGTGCTAGGCATCAGAGCCCATTTCCCCTTCCCTCCCCTCCCCTCCTCTTTCCCCCCTTCTCTCTCCCACCTATTCCCTTAGAATAGACAGGCTGCTTAAGTGTACAAGTAGTTGTGTTGTGTGTGTGTTTTTAAGGAAAACAAAAGCAAAACACCAAAAAACAGTAAAAGAAACCACACTATTATTGCTTGTTTTTTTTACTATCTGAATCACGTATGTGCTTTCCAGCAGCCTCAGTAACTTGTTTACTTTGTACTCAACAGAAACTAATAAACTTTGAGCAGCCTTTATAAAAAAAAAGAAATAAAAAACCCTACAAATTTCAAAAATATTTGAAAGAGAACAGGAACCTTAAATTGGAATAAACTAATTAAATGTGAGACCTTTCATAATATTTTATTAGCTAAATTATTGAATATTACAGAAAGGTTTTTATATAGGAAAAGTCTAGAGAAAGAAGGTCAGGAAGTAAGGCAATCCCAAGGGATAAAAGAGCTATAGGCTAAGCCATTATGGGGAGGGAGGGAGCCCTAGGTGATTTATTTTTGGACTTTGCTTTCTCCTCCTTCTTGCCTCTAACCTATCCCAATGCATTGCCCTGGAGTTTATCACTTCCTTCCCTACAGTACAACAAAACTACAGCATTCCATTGGAATGGAGAAAATCTCCTTTTGTTGGATTTGAGCCAGTCCACCTATAAAGCCTCAGACTCCAGACTCTTCTCTAGCACAAGATTCTCAGACCTCAGGTTCTTCTCTTTCTTCATCAGATCTGAGACATTTACCAATCCACAAATGGTCAAAAGATCCCAACTGGCAATTCTCAAAAGAGGAAATACAAGCTATCAACAAGCACATGGAAAAAAATGCTCCAAATGACTCAAAATAAGAGGAATTAAATTATAAGAGAAGTTCAAAATGAAGCAGATGTAAGGTTTTATATCACATCTGCTAGATGGGTAACAACGACAAAGGTAAATGACAATTGTTGGAGGGTCTGAAGGAAGACTGATGCATTCATTGTTGGTGGAGCTATAGAGTGGTCCAACCATTCAGAAATTGGAAAATACTTTGGAAAGCAACAAGTGGCCCAGTAATACATTGCTTATCTTATACTCCAAAGAGATCAAAGATAGAAAGAAAGGACCCATATATACAGAAGTATTCATAGCGTCACTTTTTGTTGTTACAAAGAACTGGAAACAAAAATCCATCAATCAGGGGATGGCTGACCGAATTATGGTACATTAATGTGATGGAATTTTATTTTGCTGTAAGAAATGATGTGAAAGGGATGGATTCAGAGAAACCTAGAAAGTCTTGTATGAACTGGTACACAATGAAGAAGAATCCAGAGAACAATTTATATAATGACTAACACTGTAAAAGATGACAGCTTTGAAAGACTTAAGAATTCTGACCAATACAATGACCACCTCCACCTCCAGATGACTAATGATGAAATGCTTCCCATTTCGGGACAAGATATAGATATAGCATAAAACATTTTCAGACAGGGTCAGTACAACACTTTTTTTTTTTGGCTTGAGTAAATCTATTACAAGGGATGGCATTTATTTGGGAAGATGTGAGTGCTATGGAAGAGATTATGGAGCAGGTGGCAGTGATGGAAAAAAGAAGAAAAAAATTAATGAAATTTTAAGAATGCATAAAGAATTTCAGAAGGGAACACAGACAAGAAGAAGGGCACTATTGTGTTAAATTTTATTTGTCTTTTTAAAAGCTGTGCGTGACAAATTACAGGGTAATATGCAATCCTCTTTTTCTTTCTGTACTTGTATATGATAACTACTAAGATTGCAATTTTGAAAAGTTTAATAAAAACCCAACGTTTTTAAATTTCTAAAAAGGCAAAATTCAGAACTGTAACATTAAATATAATTGGACTGAACTCTCCAATAAACAAAAAGGTTGTAGAAAGGAATAACAAATAGAATCTAACATACTAATATCTAATTTTTAACACAAAAAATTTTAAATAGATATAAACTAAAAGAATAGAGATTAGGTGGTTGCTTTTTCAGTCTTTCACAGAATAAGAGACAACACTAGGAAATGTCAGAAAATCACTTGGAAGATGCCAGAGACAGGACTTGTGAGCAGCTTGCTGAAGCATCAGACCAGTGAATATATGCCTTAATTGCTGTACATGAGTGGGATGCCTATAACAATAACATAAGATTTCTCTGCTCTTCCCCATCACCATGTGGTTACCTTTGCTGGTCATCCAGAAGACACAATTAATTTGAATCAATAGCATTTGTTGAGATGCCATAGTAGAAGCAGCAACAAAACATTTTCCTGATGAACTTGGAGCACATTCTCTTACAAATTCATATGCTTTCTTTTTTTAAAAAACAAAAAATTCACTATTTATTCACTTAAAAATCCTTTTCTTTTTTCAATTTTGAGTTGCAAATTCTCTATCTTCCTCCCACCTTTCCCAGTCACTGAGAAGGCAAGCAATACAATATTATACTGTGAAATCACAAATGCATTTGCTTTCAACAGGAAGCTTCCCCCTTTTATACAAAGTTTTAAAAGCGGTGCACTGGGAACATTTTCCTAAAAAAAAGACATTTGAATGGGAAATATCATGCTCCAAAGACTAGTCAGAGGAAGTTGAGATTTCAGACTTTACTAAGAATGATAATGTGCTAGTGCCTAGGAATTTTTTAAAACTCACATTGCAAATACATAATTTTCACTATAGTAAAGACTCCAGGAGACTTGAGATGTCAGATTTTGCCTAGAAGCAACTCAGTTGCTCTGGACTTCTAATCCTGTGCTATTGTTGTTGAGTTATTCCAGCTGTATATGACTTTGCGTGACCCCCTTTGGGATTTTCTTGGCAAAAATACTAGAGTGGTTTGCCATTTCCTTCTCCAGCTCATTTTACAGATGAGGAAATTGAGGCAAATAGGGTTAAGTGACTTGCCTAGAGTCACATAGCTGTCACATAGGTATCTAAGGCCAGATTTGAATTCAGAAAGATGAGTCTTCCTGACTCCAGGCCCAGCACTCTACGGACTGTGCCACCTAGCTAATCTATACTTTGCTTATTTTGCTTTTGCTTTTATAAAATTTAGTATAATAAATAAATTGAAAGATTGGACCAAAATTCATCGGGCCATGGTTCGTGAAAAACAGACACTTCACTAATGATATCTGACAAAGTTGATTTCAAATCTTAATGCACTTAAATTTAAAGTAATTTGAAATACACTGTACAGTTTTCAAATATGTGCACCAAATAAATTAGCAGTTATATTTATAAAGGAAAAGCTCATAGGTTTATAAATAGAAAATCAATAGTTATGAGAGATGTTGACTATATTATGATCAAAATATTACAAATCAAAGACAAAGATGAAAGTCACTAGTTTTAAAAGGTATTGACCAAAATGAGCTTAAAAGATATACAGAGACTATAATAAGAAAAATGAGGAATATACTTTTTGTAACATATATATAATATATATATATATATATATATATATATATATACACACACACATTTATATCTATATCTATCTATATATACGTAGAAGGTATATAAAAACTGTTCACTCCTATGATGTCACATCCCAGGTCACAATTCTCCCTGTTCCTAGGGAACATTCTTTAGCAATAACCCCAAAAGAGCTCAGATACATTGAATTAGACAAGATCTTATTTTAAAATCCTTCAGCACTGTTCACTCTGCACTGGTAAACAGCCAATGTCTGAGTGTGTTAAGGGCGTGTTGTGGACAGCATTAGTATCTAAATGACCAGCCCAAGCTCAGTGAAAACATCTGTACCTCCTCCTCATCCCAGGAAGATTTCCAAGTTTCATAGTTCTAAAGTGTCTGTATCTTCATACTTTCCCCAGTGAGAGTGAACTCCAATTAATTCTCTCTCCCAAAATAATTCCAAACTCATACTCACTGAGACCACTCTCACTTGGCATCTTCACTCAGGATACTTCACTCACAACTCCCAGGTTGGTTTCTCAAACTGCCAGTTGACACGGCTACTTCTGAAACTACTTCCTGGCACTCTTAAATATTCCTTGAAGAATTGCAAATATTTGTTTCTGGCAAGGTGAAAAAGGACATGGGTGGAATTAAAGGACTAATTAGCAAATAAGAGATTCAAATAACTCTATTTGTAGATGACAAAGGTGTGTACAAGGGAGACATGATTCTGACAAAGCTGCAATATGGCCACTAGTAGGAACTACATTGTACTGTATAGCTTGTTTGAGGTTCGTAGGTACTGGAAGTAGAGCTGATAAGAGACAGAAAGGTCAATGGAAAGGAATGAGTGAATAAATGAAAAAGTGTTTTATTAAGTGCTTATTAGGTTCTGAACACTGAGCTAAGCATGAAGGATACAAATAGAAAAAAAAAGTATACAATACTTGAATTTAAGCAGTTCACGTTCTAATTGGGGGACACCATACATATAAAAGTTGCTAATTCCCAGCTCATCTGGGTGGTATAAACAACCAGATCATACTCCCTGCTCCCCCCATGGGGTTTTTACAAACTTGTCAAATGAAGAAGGGTCCCTCTCCCTTCTTCCCAGAGGCTGTCCTGGGTGTAAAGGGAAGGGTCCTGGGGAGGAGTGAAGAGAAGGCAAAGGGGAAGGCCACTGGCAAACACCATAAATTCCAGGGAATAAAAATTTCAGGAGCTCAAAAAAAGCAAAGAGAGATAAATAGTGGGTTCAAATAGTATATAATTTATTATCAAAGTTGCCTTTTGTAGAAGGAATTAAGTTTAGGGTACAGCTAATAGTCTAGTTTGATTGAAATGCAACCTTTGAAAGTAAGTAACATGAAAAAAAACCTGGAAGGGTAGATAGAATCTAGATTGGGGGTGAATGGGATATCCCAGTGAAGACTTCTCAGTGTAATGAAGGTAATGAGTTCAGAAGGTAGTGTGAGAAATGAACTCTCAGAAGTGAAGGCTCCTCAAAGGGTCAAATAATTCTTGATTACTACTTTCAAAATCCTCCCCCACTTAGACCCTATTCTTAAGCACTTAACAGAAAGAATAAGCCCTGCCCCACCCCCAACCTGCCCTTCTGGCCTCTTTCCTTGTCTTTGAATTTCGGGCCTAGAATGTAAGCCTCACCTCCCAATTAAGAGGATAGGAAGAAACTTTTGAGCTTAGAATGTAAGCTCACCCCCAGTTAAGGGGGTAAGGGATAGTGGTGGGTGGAAACTTGTTTGCGTGGTGGACAGAGATTTGCTTTCACAAGGCAGCCCCTGTTACTCCGTGTCTGTCTGTCTGTCTGTCTGTCTGTCTCTCTCTCTCTCTCTCTCTCCACGTGTATCAAAGGAGCAGACAACCATCTCACGAGGTTGTAATAAAGGTAACCTTTACTTTCCACGTTGAGAAGTCTCTGAGTTTAATTTGGGTTGGGGTGGCTGTCCCACACAGGGGGGACCTTAAATTCTAGGTTGAGGAGTCTATATTTTGTCTTGGAGGCATTAGAAAGACTCCAAAGTTTTTTGAGCAGGGGAAGGACATAGCTGGGTCTGTGACTTAGGAAGCTTATTAGGCAGTTATGTGGAAGAGAGGGGAAAGGGTAGAAAGATGAAGACCAACCAGTAATCTACTCCAATAGTCTGGAAGTGGGGCAATAAGAACTTGAACTAGAGTAGTGGTCCTGGGAGTAAAGAGAAAGGCATGGATGTAAGAGATGTTTTGGATATAGATTCAACAAGACTTGGCAACAGATTAGATATGGGGAGTAGGTGAGGAAGAGAAAAGATCTAGGATGACTTCAAGATTATGAAACTACATGTGATTAAGATGATGCCCTCAGCAGAAACAGGGATGACTAGAAGAAGGAAAGGGTTAGTGGGCAAGAAGATGGGTTCCATTTTGAAGTTGACAGAGACTGAAAGAAAGGAGTCAAGGGTGACTCCAAGGTTTTAAGTTTGATCCATTAAAAGGATAGTGGTGTCACTGTGTAGAGTCAGAAAAGTGAAAGAGAATATTACAAGTTAATATCTCAAAAAGGCAGCTTCATATATGTGAAAATATTTATCACAGAACTTTTTGTGGTAGCAAATAACTTGAAGCAAAATAGAAACTCAGAATGGCTAAACAAAGTGTGGTACATAAATGTAAAGTAATAATACACTGTATTATATAATTAGATAACATAGGAAATTATTGACTATGATTACTAAAGATTAGAAAATGTATATGAATTAATATAAAGTAAGCAGAATCAGGAAAACAATATATACAATGACTACAATAATGTAAATATGAAGTGAATGTTGTGAAATTATAATAACCAAGCCTGGCCCCAAAGAAGAGGTATGAGATACCTCTCTTGCTTCTTTGCAAAGGAGGAGAATCATGGGTGTGGAATACTGCATATAAATTCAGAGTGAATGGGATGTCCCAGTGAAGACTCCTCAGTGTAATTAAGGTTTGGGATAAGGCTGAGTGGGTTAAGGGGTCCCATGAAAACTTCTTAGAAGAATAAACAGAAATTGCATTGGACTCAAAGCAGGCATAGCAGCCTGACAGGCCTAAGTTTTGATTTACTAGAAATCACCTGATTTACGGGAATTCAACCCCAAGTACCTTCCCCCCCACACACACATGCCATTGTTAAGTAGTTAAAGTTTGCCAAGCCTGAAACTCCTGAAGAAGCCCCCCCCTGTATTTTGTTGATGCACCTGTTGCTATATTTAGGTCATGGTGACCTGGCTATACAGTGCAGTGTCTAGCTTGACTGCACATCTTTAATTGCTTCTTTGGTATTACTTCAGCAAATTAAGAAATATACATATGCATATTGTATTCATTGTTTTGTTTTCAGTTTCTATGGTACATTGAGACTGTGAACCAAATACTAGACAGTTGGTGAGAGGGAGGAATTTGCCCAATAGGGTATTTAATCAGGTCCTTTGCTTCTGTCTGTGTCTCCTTTCATCACAGTATTCTGGTGGAGGAACACCCAAATCTCGAGGTTTGAAATAATAATAATAATAAATTAACTTTCTATTTCTCCTTGGATACCTCTGTGTGTTCTTTAATTTGAGTGGCATCCCACAAAACACCTTTTTGATATATTGGTCAGTTTTTTTGTAATTTTTTTCCTTTTTTCTTTCTCTTTAAGAAAACTTCATTATGTCAAATGTCGACATTCTGGAAAAGGAAGAGGGAAGGATACAATGGGAAATGTAGATGATGTAAAAACAAAAGACATCAATAAAACAAAATTTTTAAACTTTTTAAATATTTTAAAATTTATTTTTAGAAATTGTTTCTTTTTACCAATTTTTCATTTTCAAAGTTCTTTTTTTATTTTTATTTTTTAGCTAGGCAACGGAGTTAAGTGACTTGCCCAGGGTCACATTGCTAGTGTTATGTGTCTGAGGCCCCATTTGAACTCAGGTCCTCCTAATTCCAGGGCTGGTGCTCTATCCACTGCACCACCTAGCTGCCCCTCAAGGTTATTTAACTGTCTACCCAAACTGTTTCTCTTTTTTATCTTGTTAATAATCTATGCTATTATACATTTTTGTCTAATTCCTTTCTGTGTTAAAGCCAAATTTAGCACTTTTTATCAGCAACCTGTTTGTAGGAAACTAAATGATACAGTTGGGATTTTAATTGAGAACTTTAGAAACAAAAATTCTGATCCTGCTATTTGACATGCTACTGATGGGGGTGGGGCCCAAACCAAGATCTTCGCCCTTTGCCCCAAAGGGAATCTGACCTGAGTCACAGGGCCCAGACCCTCATCTCCCTTTGAAAGCCTTACTTAGCCTTACCTTTTAATCTTATTCAGATGTGCCCTAAAAGAATCTGGCTCCCTTTTGTCTATAGGCCCCAGAAAGGCCTTCTCTGGTCTCAAACTGTTCCTTATCGACTCCCCTTATCTCCTTTTGAAAGTCCCAGCCCCACCCTTTGATTTTGTGCAGATGCCTTTCAAACTTCTACCTTCCTGTTCCCTCCCATTAGCTACTCCCATTGTCTATTCAATCTCTCAGACCTCCCCAAATTACAATTCTTACCCAGACCCTTTTCCCAACCCCCTTCTCTGGCCTCCCAAAGTTACTTTAGTATTTAAGATCCACCCTGGCCCCTATTCAGATGCTGAGAATCTCAGGCCCACAAGGCTGAGAACTTCTCGTGCCCTCTGGTCTTTACGGGTGTCACCTGGTAAACTTTTCCTCTGGCTGAAGGAGATTTGAGTTGAATTCATTCAACAGGGCCCGGTACCGCGATTTTGGATTTCCAGCACCCCAAAAGTCCTAGACCTCTTCATATGTTTCCCCGACTGGGAAGCACTGCCAAATCTCAAACTCTTCTTCAGCCACGACTGGTAAGCCTCACCCCTCCCCAATTCCTTTCTTTTCTTGTGGCTGGGAGGGGAATTTCCAAGCAGCTACCTAAGCTTACCTTGGAAGGGTTTTCGGGCCTGATCTCTCAGGTACCTATAAGTCAGACAGCTATGAGGCTGTCTCAAACTTGCTTGACGCTCCCAGGCTTTTCAGTCCAGTGCCTCTGCTGGAGCACTTGGACCTGGGTAATACCTTCCTTACCACAGAGGAAGGACTCCCTATCAGGAAGCGTAGGTCCACACCTCTCAGTTCTCTCAGCACCAGGAAACTGGGAAACTGTTAGATTTTTTTCTTTTTTTCTTTCCCCTGAGCCCCCAATGGGTCAATCCTCTTCAATTCCCAAGAATTCGCCTTTGGCCTGTCTTTTACAAAATTGGAAAAATTTTAGCTTCTGTAAAGAACTTAAAAAGAAAAAGCTAGTGCATTTTTGGAACACCGTTTGGCCACAGTACCACCTGGAAAATTATGAGGTATGGCCCCTTTTTGGGACATTACGGGTAAAGACCCTCTCTCAGAGTTAGAAAAATATTGTGGAAGAGAAAGAAAATGGGTGGAGATTTCTTACTTAATGGCTTTTGTTGAGCTTTCTAGAGACCCCATTCTCAGAAAGGATTGTAAGATGCTCATAGCTAGAGCCACCCCACTAGTGGAGAGTGATCCCCTTTTGGATGATCCTCTTCTTATGCCTCCCAGGGTTCTGACAACCCCATCTT